TACATACATACACACACACACACACACACACACACACAGATATTATATATCTGTGTTCATCAGCACAACCAATACTGATGAGGCATTCTCAATCTTCAACTCTTTGTTGGCTGGATGTTGAATGTTTTTTGGATGTTAAAGGGTTAGTTCACCCAAAAATGAAAATTAGGCTGTGTTTTACTTGCGATAACTATTTTCGTTTATGCCCTTAATATTTCTCTTGTGGCCTGTACATAGTGAAAAAAAATGAGAAGAAACGTATTTCATGTTAAACAGGTTGTTTTTTAAAAGCGGTGCTTGGAATAAAAGCTTTTTATTTCATTGATTTTTATCAATGACTGCAGTGTTAATGTTTTATTTATAGGCATATAATTCATTGTAGACCTTAAAAGACCGTTTTTAAAAACATTTTAATTGAGGAGTAGGCTAAATATCTTTTGTTATCCTCGCAGCGCGTCAGTTATGCTCCATATTCAAAACGTAATAATCACTTTAATCTAGCTTGCGCTCACTATTGTAAACGGAAGCAGTTCCGGGCGGATGACGTATGAGGTCGGCTTTGCGCATGCGCCACTCAGAAGTGACGCATGCGGAAAGGCAGCGGAGAGATCAAAACAAAACAACGGTGACTAATTATAAGTATAAAATGAGGATTTGTAAAGAAGAATGTCAGAGGATTTCGATAAAAGCTAAGAGGAGACAGGTTTTCCTTTGCTAAAGTAAGGAAACTTTGCTTCCTTTGATCCTGTAAACAAACGTTGGGTTTCACGAGACTCACCGGCACATGCGCAACGCTGAGCTCATGGGTCATCCGCCCGGAACTGCTTCCGTTTACAACAGTGAGCGCAAGCTAGATTCAAGTGATTATTACGTTATGAATATGGATATTTTTCTTACAAAAACGCATCGGTTCGCTACAGGAGGCCTTTGTTCACCCCCCGGAGCCATGTGAGACACTTTATTTTACACTTTATTTTATGGATGGGTGCTTTTTATGTAACTTCTTTTGCACCCGCTGACTGCAATGATGGAGCTTGGAATAGCCAGGACAATTTTTAATATAACTCCGACTGGATTCGTCTGAAACAGTGATCCTCAAATCTGGCTCGCGAGATCCACTTTCCTGCAGAGTTTAGCTCTACCCTAATCAAACACACCTGAGTTTGCTAATCAATGTCTTCAGGATCATTAGAAAATCACAGGTAGGTTTGTTTGATTATAGGGTTGGAGCTAAACTCTGCTGGAATGTGGATCTCGCAAGCCAGATTTGAGGATCACTTGTCTGAAAGAAGAAAGCCATATACACCTAGGATGCCTCTGGGGTGAGTAAAACGCCTAATTTTCATTTTTGGGTGAACTAACCCTTTAAACTCGACATCTCCATCTCATGGCTTCAGGGCTGACTCTACCATCAGAATGCAAAGCTGCAAGCTGTACCCGGAGTTATGAACCTAAAACCCAGAGGAGCAAGCTAAATGAAATAGATCAGATGTTTGTAGGGGGCCCAGTGTGCTCCATCAGCCTCTCAAATCAATAGCATGATGAATAGCTGGAGGGTGGCTTCTCTGGGCAGCGCTAGTTTGGTGGTATTGGAGATGTGAGTGTATTGATGTACCACACTAGAACAAAGCAAACATGAAGCTATGAAATATGGTTTCCTTTTATGATAAATGAGCTTCACCATCACCCTCAGAATATTCTCATCTTTGTCTTAATGTCAAGTCCTATATTTTCCACTCGACTGTTTAGAATTATGAAGTACATTTTTGGTGTTCTCTCATTTGATGGTTGAAAGAACTGAAAACAACGTAATTAACATCGTTTATTGTGCGCTTGGCCTACATTTAATAGCAGCTTGGTCATGTATATTTTAAGAATTAACAAACATAATTTTATGTCATTTTAGGGAGTCCATCTTACAGAAGAAGCTTTGGGAAAGGGTCTCAACACACGTTATTGAGAACATCTACCTGCCTGCTGCTCAGACCATGAACTCGGGCACTTTCAACACCACTGTAGACATCAAACTTAAGCAATGGACTGACAAACAACTTCCTCATAAAGCGCTGGAGGTAATGAACACTGATGAACCGCTGCTATTTCTTTGTGCTCATAGTTGGTAGTTAAATTTCTGAAATCATCAGGTAAAAAAAGCACATTATATTATATTTAGTGCTGTCAAACGATTAATCGCGATCAATCGCATACAAAATAAAAGTTTTTTTTAACATAATATATGTATGTGTGCTGTGTATATTTATTATGTATATATAAATACGCACACATGCATGTATATATTTCAGAAAAATATGTTATGCTTATATATTAAATATATTTATTTATAATATAAATTATATGAATATAAATATAGATTTATTTTATATATTAGCCTTTATTCCAGTACATCCTTCATTTCAACAATTTGGTGCTCCAGAATTATTTCTTATTATTATTATCAATGTTGAAACAGTTAGGCTGCTTAATATTTTGTGTGGAAACTAGCATTTTTAGTTGTGGATTCTTTAATAAATTGAAATTTCAAACAAACAGTATTTATTTTAAATAGAAATCTTGGTTACACTTTATTTTAAGGTGTCCTTGTTACAGTGTAATTATACATTTAAGTACTGAGTAATATTAAAGGGGTCATATGACGTTGCTAAAAAGAACATTATGTTGTGTATTTGGTGTAATGCAATGTGTTTATGCGGTTTAAGGTTAAAAAAACTCGTTATTTTCCACATAATG